GGACCTAATGTTGGGGGTTTAAGTGGAGAGAAAATGTTTTGAGAATGATGTACAAATGCGCTTTACACAATTGATGTGTGTACGGATTGCGATAACAGTTGTATGAGCCCCTAATAAAATGTTTAAAAAAAATAAAAATAAAAAGGGATATATACCACTACATTCTGCCCACCAGCATTTAGGATGACTACATGTAAGACTATTGTACATGTAAACCAGACTTAGTCACAGGTTCCAAATGTTCTTAAATTTTCTATTAAAAGGCCTGAATACAAGCCCTCCAAATAGTGTTTTCTTTGCCCTCAGCAAGCGTATTTTAATACTTTCTTTTTTAAAAATCAATTTTATTGGGGGCCCTTATCACAATCCATACATCCATTGTGTCAAGCACATTTGTACATGTTGCCATCATTTTCAAAACACTAAAAAAAAAAAAAAATGTCTATTTGAGCCCTTGGTATCAGCTTATTTTCCCCCTCCCTTCCTTACGAAACCTTAATTCTTTTTCATGTCTTACACCAACTGCTATCTCCCTTCACCCACTATTCTGTTGTCCATGTCCCTGGAAGGGGGTTATATGTATATAGATCACTGTGATCAGTTCCCCCTTCAAATAGTATTTTTAATTCTACACCATGTTTTTACACAAATAACTGTTTGTTTTTAACAAACTACACTACTCCCATACATGTGAATGCCTTCCTTGCACACCTTGTGTGTTACATGCCCGCCTTATTTACAGGTGCATGCCATGTTCGTAAGTATAAATTTTCATTTCTTTTGGCCCATATAGCTTTCCAAAGACTCTTGTTTGAAAACGGAGTTCATGGTATATTCTAAGCAATAATCATTTGAAATCACTGTTAGGGTTGAGGTGACAATATATTTATTTCCATTTAAAAGTAAGCCTGACATTGGTTTGCAACCAATTTTAAGTTAAATAGCCGAATATTCTAATCTATATTTTCTCCTTATTTTATAATTGATATATATTTGCATAACATCAGTATTCATTTTCAGTTTTGCAAAAGAAAACTCTTGTCTTAAGTTTACATACCACTTAGCTTTAAAGATCTAGTTTATGTTCAATGAATTAAGAAACAACACACATCAGAACATGGTTTAGCCAGACTTTAATAGACAAAGAGAAGTTGCTTTGGCAATGTAGAAAAGGATAACTGCTATAGTACAAATCATGATTTAACATATTTTATTAAATATTAAAATGCAGTAAGGCAATTCCTGTTTTAAGACACTTGAAATTACATGTAATAAATAGACTGGCTCCACACTTGTCATATTGCACCCCTACTTTTCTTCTCAAATTACTCTAAGGGACTCAAAAAGTTATTTCAGAAAACTTACCAGTAGTTTTTCTTAAACAAAAAAAACCAACTCGAAGTTCTGATGACTACTGAAGTATTAATAGCTTACAATACAAACTTCTGACAAGGACGTGGGAGACCACCCTTCCCGTGGTTTCCTTTTCCTGCATTTCTGCTCTTCCCGGCTCTCTGGAACCCATTCATTATGGGTCAGCTGAAAGCATCCTTAGTGAGTGAGGATGAGTCAATGTGATCTCTATGTTGAAGCTGCCATGCAAGGCTGGGAGGGGATTCCCAAACCTGTCGTGCCAGCAGGCGCGTCTGGGAAATCGTTTGAGTTCCTTCTCCACCTCTATTTCTCCATCTCCTCACACTCCTTCTACCTTCTCCCGTACTCTGCCATTTGCCATTCCCACTCTTATTCCAACTCTTTCCTCTCTCCCTTTCTCACTTCCTTTTCCTTCTTTTTACTTTTTTTGATCATCCTTTCATTATCTGCTTCTGTCTCACCCTAAAAATTCCTCCTTCCCCAATATAAACAAATTCATACTAGAAAAAAAAAATGTGTCAGAAAACATTCAACCCAAGTCAACAGAACGATTGGAAGTAGGAGCCAATAGGGTGAAACAGAACTTCACTTGTCACACTGCCGGGGCACGAGCACACTGTGCAGAACACTCTGAAACCCGCTGCTTCTCTCGGGTGAAACAGAACTTCACTTGTCACACTGCCGGGCATGAGTACACTGTGCAGAACACTCTGAAACCCGCTGCTTCTCGCTCATCTTCGGGGCCGTGGGTACGGCATACTGATTGCATTTAAAGACCCAGTGCACAGAGGAGGTGATGTGATATGCCAGTAGTCCACACAGTTCTAATTCACAGTCTCCTCGCCTTAAACCAGCAACATCCAACTGGAGGCAACACAGAGCAATGAGAAAAGCAGAAATAGTGTTTAGTCTCTAACAAAGTGTCCATAGAGAACTTGGTTACATTGTACATACTGTACTACTCTTCCCAGGGGGCACTGTCTCTAAATGTAAATTACAATGTCTATTTCCTAAATTCAAATTCTTTTAAAATGGCTACTGCATACAAGTTTGGCTACTTTTTTATAAAAGAAGTCATTCCACTTTGGTAATACTGTCGCCCAGAGATAGTTCTGAGGTCAGAATTTCTCTAAACACACAGACTCAAAGAATATATAATGTCATTCATATAAACTGCATAGATACACAATGTTCTATAGAAAGAACACTCATACTGGAAAACAATGTAATACATTCTGTAAGATGTCTATCTATTAATTTAACCTCATTAACTGAAAACTGTATTTCTTGAGAATGCTCAAGGAAATTACCTGGTCTAAAAGTAAATTCAGAAAATTCATGTTAGTCTTGTCATGAAATTTCTATGATGTCTCTAATCTAAGTGACACTAGTCCTCTGAAGCAGCATTCTCACCATAACTCAATCTGTGATACAATGTCCAATCAGGTCGGTTCTGAATAAGCCAGAGGAGGAGCCTTCCAAACAATCCACCAGGCAGTGGGTGTCACGGTGGAAATAACCACAACCCATGTGCTGGGCCAGTGTTGACAGTGCCCTGAGCACACTCTGCATCAGCCCACCAACCTATCAGAACCCTACTTTAGAAGCCACCAACTATGCCAAGAGTATTCTAACGTTATGCTTCAAATGGTCAGAAGAGTTTCTGGTGGTTCCCAAACTTGCTGACATCAAAATCATCCGAGGAGCTTGTTAAACAGTCACAGACCACTATGTGGCTTCCTTTCTGAACCTAATTCTAACAGACCAACTAGAAAGTAGCATATTTCAAAAACCAGGGAAATTTGTGTGAGCATTACTGGGTATTACAAGAAACCAATTGCTACTTTTATCAAGCAAGAGGCCATTGTGGTTACCCACAAACCGTTCAAAGGTGGTGGTCAGAGGACTGGAGAAACAGGACATCGCAAGCTTCTGAAAAGCCCTTTGGGCAGAGAGGGGAGAAAGGAGGGTGAAATACATGAAGCCAACATGGAAAAACAGAGATACTTGCTTCACCCGGGTGGTAAGTAACATCATACACTATTCTGCTTCTGTGTGATGCTGACATCTTTTCATTCAGAAAAAGATCTGCAGAGCTTATCCTAGAAAGTCTATCCGCGCCTCCACAGGATGAGCCCAGGAGTCTGTGCTTACCACGCTCCCTGTGGGTCACACAGCTAACAAGGCAGAGATGTCATCGGAGAACCACTAGAAACGATGCCCTGTACGTCCTTCCACACGTACAAGTTCAAGGAGCCCACTTCTCACTCAGGAGGCTGATGTACAGCACGATTAACAGGTTCTTGCACTCAGCAGGGCATTCTGCCGGCGGCAGGCTGAGCGCGTGCTCAGAGGGCAGCCCTGCTGAGGGCCGATTGACAGTCAGATTCTTCCTCCTCCCCTCCTCCTCTTTCTGCGGTTTTGTTGTCTCTAGGAGGACAGTGGTTCTTCATAAAGCACATCACTCCTGTCTTCACATGCGTGGTGTTTTTCCTTCACGTTTTCCCGTCACTATTTAAACCTTAACGTATTGGAGACAGAACAAAGGCGACCATATAGCACTTGGCAAATAGATCTGTGCCCCCAGCACAGTGCCTGCTGAGCACCCAGAATCTACAGCTCTTTTAGTCAGCAGGCCAAGAATGCCAAGAGAGGTATTATTGTTCTTCAGACCTTGAGATAATTAACCGTCTTAAAGTGATGTTCCAAAAAATGGAAGATATGCACATTCACGCAATGAAAACTACCTTTCTTAAAGTCAGGTGTTGCCGTCATCTTATTAATTCAAATTATTCACCAAGTGGTTTATCTTATAGTAAGGCTCTCTATACATTTGTTTCTTCTAAAGTATCTTGTAACACCATGTTGAGGTAGATGAAAAAGTTTAAGTGGACTACTTGTTTCTGCTCCATTCTAACTAAATTCACTGTTCACAGGACGTGTACAGGTTACACATTTTGGCCCCTTACATTTTCCACTATCATAGCTGGAACTCTCAAGGGTCTCGTTTCATGATCAACTTGATATTTTTTCTCCTTCCAGAATGCCCAGTAAAGCTGAACTGTTTAACTTAAAATGAACATAATAATAAATTCTCACCAAAGACGTCTAACAATCTTAGATCTGTTTGGGTAAGACAGTTGAGCACACACAAAATGAAAATAAAACATGACGTTTCACAAATACATGTACACACAAAACCCCAGTGACAAAACGCGCTAAGTTTCACTGTTCACTCATCCTCTTCACAACAGCTGTCCGAAACACGCAGCTAACTTCTAACCTACAATGGTCCAAACGCGATTGTCACAAACACCTGAAAACAGAGATGAAATGAATCAAGGCACACACAGATTGTCAACGGTTACGTTGGTTACATCACATTTCCTTAGAAACAGAACTTTTTCTGTTCCTGTAAACAAGTCTGTTCTCACACATTTAAAGTGAGGTTAGTGCTGACATGGAATTACTGCTATCCTTGCAGGCTGAGTGTTTTCACTGTGTAAGCGGTGCATGTCCTCCATCCATACACCCCTACAGCTCTGACTCACTTGAGAATAGTCGACGGATGTCTATACGTTAACTACGCAATAATAGTTTCAGCAATACTGGAATGATACCAAGTAACACTACAAACACCAGAGATCACAATGTCTTCTAATTGGGGTCCAAGAGTTTAACTTATTCTTCATTGCATTTAACCCCATTGGGGGGGGGGGGGTTACTCTCAAAATGGATAATTCTTTCCTGAATACTTTGTCCAAGACTACATCCTCTTCACACGTATTCTCTGACAGTATATTTTGCTTGCTTTGAAATTCCGTTGACTCGGCAGTCACCAATAGTCACATTCCTTTGGGTGGTCGATCATAAAGGTCTCGTATGCTTTTGGCCAGTTGTTTGAGAATTATTTTGTACAGTTTTCCACAGTATGTATGCACTGTTTTTTGCAGCTCCAGTTCTAAAGGATTCAGTAAGGAATGAACCTTGTCATCTTCAAAAGAGCACTAGAGAAAGAGAAAAATAAAGACTAAGAGACATAAAAATTTCATTCAAAAATATTCAAAACTCTCTCGGTTAATACTATCACCACAAAATGAACATGCCAAACATTTTTACTGAATTAAGCTGAACTATGGTTTCACAATACAGAAGGGAGAAAACGCCATGATATCCCTGGGAGAATAAAGGATGTTTCTCAGAAAAGAAGTACAGGGTGAGAGGGCTTTCCAGGCCCAGGGAAGGAGCCTTCAAAGACACTGGTGGGAGAAGTCAACCAAAAGTTCTGAATAAAGTGATGAAAGCCAGTTGGGTTTTAAAAAGAAAACCCAGAAACGCCAATTGGTCTCTATTTGTTTAGAATAGCAGCAGGGGAACCAGAACGAGAAAAAGGGAATGGACTGAAGATTTTTTCCCCTCGGTAAACTAGTTCCTTCATTACCATGACAACAGGAGAAAATGATGGTGTCTATCACTGCTGCCCATTTTACTCAAAGACCCAGGAGGTGAATCCTGAACAGGTGGAGGAAAAAGATGGAATAGAATTTCCACCTCATATGGAAAGATGTACTGGATTCCCTGAGCCCAGGAACCCCAAAAACGAATGCTCACAAATAAACTTTAAATCTTGAACTAAATTAAAAAAAACTATTCCAGGAAGACACTGTTAAACAACCAAAAACCATTGACTAGATAGCGACCCTACAGAACAAGGTAAAACTGCCCTTGTGAGTTTCTAAGACTGCAAATCTTTACGGGAGTAGAAAGCCTCCTCTTTCTCCCACGCAGCAAGTGGTGGCTTTGAACTGCTGATCTTTTTTTTTTTTTTAATCATTTTATTAGGGGCTCATACAACTCTTTTATCACAATCTATACACACATCATTTGTGTAAAGAGCATTTGTACATTCATTGCCCTCATCATTCTCAAAACATTT